TGGTTCCTAGGATTGGGTGTACTACCTCCCTGGAATCCAACTATCATGCAAGGTACCTCTGCTTCTCCGCCCCCCCCCTGTGGGGTGGGTTGGGTGTAGTATGTATGTACCTACGTAGGTTGGTAGGTATAGGCATGTATGTATGTATGCATGTATGTATGCATGTATGTATGTATGTATGTATGTATGTATGTATGTATGTATGTATGTATGTATGTATGTATGTATGTATGTATGTATGTATGTATGTATGTATGTATGTAATGTATGTATGTATGTATGTATGTATGTATGTATGTATGTATGTATGTATGTATGTATGTATGTATGTATGTATGTATGTATGTATGTCTCTGTGTGTGTATGTATGTATGTGTGTAATGTAAGGTAATGTGATGTAATGTAATGTAATGTTATGTAATGTTGTGTAATGTTATGTATGTATGTATGTATGTATGTATGTATGTATGGAGATGGTTCCTGCGGGGGATACCATTGGGGGGGGTTGCCGGCCGCCGGCCGGGACCATATATATATGTGTGGGGTGGGGTTGGGTGGGGTGGGATATTAACGTCCTGACGACTACGTCCTTGATACTACGGTGTCAACACATGTTCCACCAACTAGGAAGACGTTGATGATGCAACGTGATGCTACGTTGACAGCAAGGTGGGGTGGGGTGGGATATTAACGTCCTGACGACTACGTCCTTGATACTACGGTGTCAGCACATGTTCCACCAACTAGGAAGACGTTGATGATGCAACGTGATGCTACGTTGACAGCACGGTGGGGTGGGGTGGGGTGGGGTGGCGTGGGGTGGGATATTAACGTCCTGACGACTGCGTCCTTGATACTGCGGAGTCAACACATGTTGATAACATGTTGAAGTATCTTCATAGTACGGTGATAACATGTTGATGTATCTTCATAGTGCTTTGATAACATGTTAGCATAGTGTAGTTTAATCCGTGTGGCCCTTTTTTTCCTTTAAAATGAAAATAACCAGCCAACCATCAAAAGATGACAATTGTTTGTAGACTACCAAAGATTGACCATAGGGCATAAGTATAGTTATTGGATTATAAGACCATTTAACATCATTAAACTAGGTGTTCATTGGCCGGAACCACTGTGCCGAGCAAGAAGATGATGAGAATTCCTGGTTTTGTTCCCATCTGGGTGTGTCTGAAAATGAGGTATATGTCCCAAGTTATGAGAATTAAAATTGTGAAGATGATGTTCAACCAGCAGATTTATCAAGGCTACCCTATTTTCAGGCAAATCCCATCGAAATACGTTGTGTTCATCCAAATGTGGTGCTTGAGCTAGGTTTTTTCCCATTCAGCAGCTTCTGGGATATGAATGGTTCCAGTGCAAACATCACCCATATCACGTATTTCCGGTGATGGTATCCTTAGGTAACTGAAATCATGCGGCCCCTTTTTCCCCGTCCCATGCCGCTGGGCTTTCTGATGGGGCTCTGGAAAAGATATCTGACAATTGACCATAGCGGACATATTTGAAACACCCTTTGGTGGCAACATGTTCTTGCAGGAGACCATTTGAAATAGCATTTGAAAAGTCTCATATTGTTGACTCTATATATGCCACTATATATCATGATATTCTTCTCAATGATATCGCCACAGTATCCCCATTAAATATGCAGAAAATCCCGGAACTGTTTTTTTTAAATGTTTGAAACATACAGAAACATGATGTATCAGTGTTTATCCACAGTATATCCATAAGGATCCACGGATTTTTTCTTCGGACCGTGACGGGCCTCGGTCAGCTGCGTTGAGGAGCAGCTGGTGCATGTTCTCAACAAGGGGCATCCTGCGACTTGGGTAAACAATGGCGAAGAAAATTACACGTTTTGCCAACTTCTTCTTGGGGGATATACTTGTGGAATATAGAAAAATATGGAAACATATATGGTATACATAAATGGGATGGATTGTGAAATAAGAATATGGAATATGCAGTGATATAAGAATTATGGATTATAGAAAAACATATCTGGGCAAATTATAACGACCTCACTGTTCTCCCTCACTGGAATCGTGGTTAGTAAGGGTAACTAACCCAAAATAGCCTTAATTCAGGTTTGTGAATTATTGTAATTTACCCAGACATATGGTACACATTAAATGCTCAACTAGCCAAAGATGTTATAATGGGATAAATATGAATGGTGATAGTTCATTGGGTTGATGAAGTTTTGCTGCTTCAATTGCCAGTTGGGGATTTAATATGGGGATATTAACAATGATGAAATATCATTGGGGAATATAAGTATAGATGTCCATCACTGGGGTTAATATACCTACAACCATCTACAACTGGTTGGTGGTTTGGAACATGAATTTTTATTTTTCCATATATTGGGAATGTCATAATCCCAACTGACTCATATTTTTGAGAGGGGTAGGTATACCACCAACCAGAGTATATTCGGAAACACGGTCATATCGCTGCAGACACCACATGTTCGGGATGTATCGTGGGCGTACAACCAGCCCCTAAAAAAGATACGTCCCGTCCAAAAATAAGGGTTTCTTTTTTGGGCTATTAGCATTATTAGCAATCACTAACAAGAGCTTCACCTTGGCAAAATTGAATCTGGAACATGACACTCTCGTTTGGATACAACCAACACGACCACGGTGTAGATCGGAACATCGCCAGGAGATTTGACCGATTGACGTGGGATTTTTTGACCGACAATTCCCATCATCTTTTCGATCATCCCATAGACCCTGGATGGCAACCAACTGGATAGCAAGGGTTAGGGTTGAGTAAGAAAAATTGGTATGACAAGGCCATCATCCCCACTGGATGGGAAGAACGTAAGGAAATAATCCTTTAGGTATTTTTTTGCTATAAATGGAAAATAGCCATAAAACCGGCAAAAGATGACATGAAGATTTTGTGGACTACCCAAGATTGACCATGTGATGATTCATAAATCCAAGAATAATTGCACCATGCCCAATATCACCATTGGTGGTCAATCTCATCCCCAAATGGGACGGGAATACCACCATTGGGTGAATGAATCTCATTCCAACATGTTACATGGGAGTTTCCAACAAGTCAGGTGCATCCCCAAAGCAACATGGTTCTTAACCTAGACTAAGTCATGGTCATCCATTGTCCTTGGATGAAAAAATTCTCTGCACATGACTTCGGAAACCTCAATTTGGGGATGTTGATGAAGATGTTTTGTTTCAATGTAATTTTCATCAATACCCTCTGTTAATTTAACATAGCTATTGAAAGTGGCCCATGTATAGTTGATTTACCTTCAAAAGATGGTGATTTTCCGATGTTCCACAGTTTTTTGTATGTTTACCAGAGGGTAATCCCAATGGATGGTCCCAAACCTCTGTCCCTCGTGCATTCCACTTCCTCGTCGATCTTGATGGTGACCGAAGCTAAGGTGCCCTATGCCGTGTTGTGGGTCGACAAAGATTCGGGCATGTACATGGGTGCGCGGGGGCCAGCGATGAAGACTTCACCGGAAGTTTTTGGTTACCCTGTGGATATTCAACGTAGCTATGGGAAATCACCTTTTTTAATAGGTAAATCATCACAAATCATGTGGAAATGAGCCATTTTCCATGGCTATGTTAAATAACCAGAGGGTATATGGTGAAACACACATTGGTTCATGATGGATGGTAAATACTGGACGGTAAGCCCAATGAAGAGTGAAATCTATGGTTAATAATGCTTAATAAGGATTAATAATGGCTGATAATGTTAATCATGGTGGCAGAAAACCAACCATACTGGATGAATAGTACATCATCAGAATACCTAAAATGGTAATTTAAGGATTTGCGAACTGGAAAAGTCATCATTTTTCAGAACGGTAAATCATCATAAATCATGGAACTCAATGTGTCGAATCACCAGAGGGGATATTTCCAAGAAACCATGGGAATGATGAATACCCTCTGGTAAACTAACATAGCTATTGAAAATTGCCATTTATAGTTGATTACCCCTAAAGAAATGGTGGTTTTCCAGTTCGTTATGTGACAGTTTACCACAGCGGTTTCCCATATTCAGGAGTCATTCTTTCGTATCTCAATATGACTGCCGTAGTAGGCAATGAGCCAGCTTTCCGGCGAGCAACAAGGGGCGGGAAAGTGACTTCGAAAGTGGTTTTATGTGGTTTTGTAACCGCTCTGTGTGCGTCCATTTTTCATGCAATTTCTATTCCGGATCGGGACAGGAAATCTTGCTTATAATAAGCCGCGGTGAGAACAGTTCAATCATGGTGGCCGAAGAATCCATGCTGTTTGTCTCTGCACTGTGGTCGCGTCATGACCCCGTGAATCGAACTAGAACCATTCAATAACCGGTTGGTGGTTTGGAACATGTTTTATGACTTTCCATATGTTGGGAATGTCATGATCCCAATTGACGAAATCATATTTTTCAGAGGGGTAGGTCAACCACCAACCTGGTCACTATTATGATTAATCACTATTGACCACCACTAACCACTATTAATCCCACTATTATATCATGTTTCAAGATGGTTATGGAAACTAATAATGATTGATATTGGTTATGTTAGTTTACCATCATCATCATCATCATCATCATTTCACCACAAAGAACTAAAGAAGTGAACAATCCATCCCCAATTTCGGAGCCTGTACCGTGGCCTTTGGGGTGCACGCCAGCGTTCCAGTTACAAGTGAATATGGATGGTTTGTAATGGAAAATACTATTAAAATACGTTCAAAATAGATGATTTAGGGGTACCCCCATTTTAGGAAACTTCTATAAATATATATATATATATATAATATATATATATATATAATATATATCCATGTTATACCCCAGTTGCATATGGGACATCGCCAGTTTTACCTTTCCAGGAGGCCATATCATGATTCTGGGCGGCTGCACTGGAGATGGCAGGTACTACTTGCATGCATCCTGGCGGGTCTTTGGGTGCGTGGTTTGGGGAGGATTTTTTAGGATTTCTCGAAAAGGTCTGTGTGAAAATGTGGCTATACCCACAAATAGCCATCACTAATACTACGTGGGGAAAATCATGAACCAATGTTTTTAGGGTGTACCCTATGTTCAGACAAACCCAGCCCGGAGGAGGAAAAAACCTCTGGGTGTGCCCAAAACATCAACCTGGGTCGGTGGATCCGACTTTGATAACCCACTTGTGACACGTGAAGTATGGATAGACTGGGAAGCCATAGCGTCACAGAAAGCCGAATGGCCTTATTGGATTTCTTTTTTCCTTCACATTTGAAGGGACAGAGAATACTCCTCACAAAAGATGCTGGAATCTCCCATCCTGGGTAAAGCTTGAGGTAAATCGCTTCTCTTTTTCCTACAAATAGAGGAATACTTCGTACCGAGCAAGAAAACAAAACACTTGTGTTTGTGTCTTCCAGAATTTCCACTAGCAATTGGCAATTGGAAGTTCCCTATTCGTTTATAGACGATTTTCCTATTAAAATGATGTATTCCACATGTTTTCTTTCCCTAGTTGGTGGTTTGTTTTCGGCAATGGAAATGAGATCATGATCCCCATTGACAGTCGCGCATTTTTTGGGTTGAAAGCACCAGTCAGTAAAACTGTAAATGCACTTGTGATCATGCATTCCAAAGTATAGTTCTTAAATGTTAATCAACTAAACTATAGTTCTTACAGTAATTGGAAAATTCCCCTTCTATTCTCATGATGGTCTTCCCAAGGTTTTTCCACGGTTTTCCCGGCTCCTCCAAAAGCTCAGCTTCCCTGGCTGAGGACAGCCTCTCCAACCTCACACGCACTAAGACCTGGCAGGCCTTGACGCATGCAGAGTTGATGGAATACAGCCCGTGGGCCATGGTCGGCTGCTGGACGGGAATGGGGCCGGCCATGGGGCCGGCCATGGGTTGGCATGGTGAAGGGGAAGATTTTTTTTGGATCACCAAGTAGCGTCGTTCATATCATCACTGGATGGGTAGGAAATAACCTTTTGGTGTTTTTGCTGTAAATGGAAAATAGCCATCCAAGCAGCAAAAGATAATTTTGATCCAAAGATTGACCATGATTGACCGTGATATGAATGCAGAAAATCATGGGCTCAATATTAATGGAATGATTTTGGGATACTGATTGGGATCAGTTGATTGAGATATACCCTCCGGTGTCATCAAACATGGCAAGCTGGGGAACCCCTGAAGTGTCCATGGAGGTTTAACGTGGGAAAATCAGAAAATCATCGAAGGAAATGGGGCTTTGACCCTGATTTAACCGGTAATACCAGAAATTGATCCAGAAAGACTATGTTGCTGATGATGATGAGGAGGAGGAGGAAGGTGAGGATGAGGATGAGGATGAGGATGAGGATGAGGATGAGGATGATGATGATGATGATGATGGTGATGGTGATGGTGATGGTGATGGTGATGATGATGGTGATGATGGTGATGATGATGATGATGATGGTGCTGATGCTGATGAGGATGAGGATGAGGATGAGGATGGGGATGAGGAGGATGGTGATGGTGATGGTGATGGTGGTGGTGATGGTGATGATGATGGTGATGCTGATGATGATGATGATGCTGATGAGGATGAGGATGAGGGTGAGGATGATGATGATGATGATGATGATGTTGATGATGATGATGGTGATGGTGATGGTGATGATGATGGTGATGATGGTGATGATGATGATGATGGTGCTGATGCTGATGAGGATGAGGATGAGGATGAGGATGGGGATGAGGAGGATGGTGATGGTGATGGTGATGGTGGTGGTGATGGTGATGATGATGGTGATGCTGATGATGATGATGCTGATGAGGATGAGGATGAGGATGGGGATGAGGAGGATGGTGATGGTGATGGTGATGGTGTTGGTGATGATGATGGTGATGATGATGATGATGATGAGGATGAGGATGAGGATGAGGATGAGGATGGGGATGAGGAGGATGGTGATGGTGATGGTGATGGTGATGGTGATGATGATGATGATGATGATGATGTTGGGAAAATGTTGGGAAGATGTTGGGACGATGTTGGGACGATGTTGGGCTGGTGTGTTTTTTCGCCTGGTGCTCAACCCTTTTTGGGACGATGTTGCCATATTTTTCAGGGTTTTGAAACCATCAGTGTGGTTAATTGACGAGTGTCAGGGAAGGTTTCAACGGACAATGTTGACCCAACTATCCATGAAAAGTGAGCGATTTCTGCAGCCATAAAGATCCCAGTGTGGGACACATTTTAAAAAAATGGACGATGGCAAGATAGACTCTGCCCCAGATATATCCGGATATTATGTACTTGAGGGATCATCCCACTTAGTAATGTTAGCAAACCTTAGTTAAAAAATCCCATTCATTGGATCCCCCTCCAGTAAACTAACATAGCTATGGACAATGGCTCATTTATAGCAAAAAGACCCATGAAAATGGAGATGTTTGATAGCTATGTTTACCGCCACATGGTATCCCATTTATAACTGGGTTTATTACACCCCAGAAACACCAGAAACACGAAACTGGCCCTCCAAGTGGATGGAAAATCCATGGTAAATCCCAAATTCTTGAAGTTTGGCGATCGAAGAACAGAGTCAACGAAGCACGCCCTGAGTTTTTGTGCGCTGGGTTGGGCCCTTGTGTGCGTGTGCTGTTTGGATACCCACTTTCTGGGAAACTGATAGAGATTGACTGAGATTCTGGAAATCACGAAGGAGATCCGTCTACTATCTACGGTGATGTTAGTTGGAAGCAAAAACCCGTCAGAAATCAAAGTTTGGCGCCTTAATCGAATGTATCCGAGTGGCTAAAATTGGTTTCATACCAGCGTTTAAAGGATTTCCGTGAGATCCCAAACATAGTTGTTCAAATGTTAAATCCATCGCATGTTCCCCAAATCCGGACCCAAATCATTCCTGTTTGAGAAAAAACATGTTTTAATTTTGACAAACATGTTATTTGAAAAATATGTCAATTAATCATTTCTATTAAGAGAAAGTAGTTTTTCCGAAACACCACACCACATGAACCATGGACCATAGATAAATAACGATAAATATATGGCATGGATGACATATATACAATCTCAAATGCAAAAGCCAGATATGATGATTTACCCAAAGAAACTCAGATGATTTTAGTAACCCTCAAAAAGATTGAAAAGATTTGATTCCTATCAAAAGAGTTCTAAATTTCACATAAGTCACCTTTTCTGCATCTTTAAGGGGCTACCCTCCGGTAAACTCACATAACATAGCTATGGCAAATCACGATTTTGATAGGTGACTGGTCGAACTAAATAGGCCATGGCTTCCACATAGTTAATCAATTAAGATCCAGTCAAATCACCGTTGTTAGTATGGTAGCTACTACCACTTAAGCCACAATGTTTCTGTGATTAAATGACCTATGAATCTATGAATATCCACTTTAAGTCACCATTTTTGCATGGTTAAATCACCCATTTCCATCCACTAACAGGGTGTTCGCAGTCGTTCCACGCCAAGATTCATGGCCTACAGTGGAACAGCTTGGCGGCAAGGAAACCGTCCATGCCAGCAATGAGGAATTGATGCCTGGCGAAGAAATCCAGTTGCAGGAGGCCATGGAAAGCCATCGAAATTGGTGGTATATTCGTATATCCTCAATCGTAGACCACCAACTATGATATACCACCAATATATCCAGTAAATTGGTGCTATATCCTCTATAATTTAGCCCTTAGACCGGAAACATATGATACCTGGTGCCTCCCACCTATCTTAAGAGGTTAGTTCAACGTGGATTAGGTTGATTTAGCCTACTACATACGTATCCCATGAACAAAACCAGGAATATAACCTAGTTGGTAAGTGGGACGAGCAACGAAGTAGGCATGAGATGTTATATCCTGGTATCATGATAATATAATGGTGGTAATTCTAATATATCACAATTGTTTACCATCATTTCTAATGATAACATATCTTGTATCATTATAATTGTACTGTAATTATACCTCAATAATGATGGTAAACATAAGAATATGGGGTAATCATGGGATAATCATGATATAGTCATAGAATAATAGTGGTATTACATATAAATATACACATTGGACCATGCATATAATTATATATACATAATTATACATATATTGATATCGACAACAGGATGATATTTTTCACTGGGGATTCTAAATACATAATAGCATATGACAGATAGTTGATATTGATAATACAAACATGTAGTAAACCCGATAATACCACAAATGATGGTAAACACAAGAATCTTGGCTTATTATTGGATAATACTGGGATGATAATGGGATAACTATGATAAATCATCCCCAATAGAGGTCTATGAAATTGGCTATACCCCTATCAATGGGATGCTGGAAAATGACCCGCAACTGGTCGGTAGATGGGATGGTTTATTGTTTGGTCGAATGACATTCACCAACAGAAATGGTGGTTTAACATGTTTAACCAACAAGAATCTGGGCTGAATTGCCCACAGGGAGAACGTGCGCTATATGCAGTTTTTTTTTTTCATGGGTAGAAGGGTGAGTTTTGTTTGCATGGAAAATGGTGAGCCGGGGGATGTCATGGGGGCTATGTTTTGCTCATCGGGTAATCTAACAGTTTGCTCATGGCCATAATGTTTGGATTCCCATTGTGGGATGAATGACACAACATACCTATGGAAAATAAGAATTTTATAGCTGGGTAAATCAACTATTTCTATGGCAATTGTCAATAGCTATGTTAAATTACCAGAGGGTATATCATTGTTTGACCATTTGTGACGTTGATTGAAAATAAAAGGACTAAGCCTGCTTACCCTACTTATTCCTGAGGTTATAGCCCAACGTGCCATCGTCAAAAGATGGATTTATAGTCCACGAGTAATGAGACTCTTGAATGATGATGGACGACCATAGCCCATATACCTTGTTTTCATTGTGGCACACATGATTGTGCTGCTTCAAAATCTTCAGGTGAAACCGGAAAAACATGAGAAAATGATTTGGACAAAAAAAACGAAACAACAACGGGCATCTAAGAAACAAAAGGAGGGATCTAAGATGTTCTAGCTACAAGAAATTGGATTTTTGGGTTTGGGGTCTGACTAGAAAGATTGGGGTCTACCCTCTTTCAATCAAACATGGCAATGGAAATTCCTGTATGAAAACAGGTCTTAATGGAAGAATCATCTAAAAAGCGGGGATTGTCCATGTCCATGTTTGATTACCGGAGGGTAACACCTAAAATTTTGAAATTGACAGTGATGGGTGGCTCATCAAAACTTGGTAAATTTTAAGTACTGTCGTTACTTTTGTTTGCCAGTTTGATGAGGATGTGTACCCCTTGAATCTTAAATAGGGATGAACATCTATTCAACAGCTGTGTGTGGTTTTCACGAGGCATTGGCCAGCTTGTGACCCTTGCCCAAATGGATGCAAAATGGCTGGTACTAAAATCTATGGCAGAACTTTTGTACCGGGTATATCAATTAGTATATTGTGTTTCATACTTGTGACTCATACCCACTACCCTCCCGTAATCAAACATAGCAATGGGAAATCCCAAAAAAAGAAGGCTTGCATGGGGGAAACATCTATAAATTGGAGATTGTGCATTGCGATGTTTGATGAAACCAGAGGGTATCTCCATTTTTCTATCCCCATCTTTTCCGGACATGTCTTGGGGTTACAGTCCCCATATTTTTACGACATTTTTCCGAAAATCTTTAATCCGGTCTCAACGGTCTCTTCCTGCTCTCAAGGAAGAAATGGTTCAGGGAGAATGGCAATCATGGAAAGTGGTTTTACAGTTTCATCCTTAGCAACTTGGCACTTCGGTTTGGTGGTTTGCTACCTGATTTTTTTGAGTTTTTTTTTCCTCAGTCCATCCACTTAGACAAAAACACACACACACAGAGTTTCCCCTATGATTTGATGGCCATAAATGATGGATACTGTAGTCCATTTCTAGACATTTAGCCACTTTGATGTTGTAGTGGGGATGAAGATGACAATGGGATTACTACTCCAGCTGTAATGGTTCATAATCAATGCTATTATTGATTAACAAGGGTTTATGATCATTAGGATTTAATATATATATATATATGATTATATATGATAGGCATAATATCATATCTGGATGAATTATGTTGCGACCTCACGTCGTAACGTCACTGGAATGATGCTGAATGTGGGGGAATCATCTGAAACCATGGCCAGTTCAGCCAGATGAATGGGGGTTTCTTTAAATGGGGGTACCCCAAAATGAATGCTATGATGAAAAAAACCATTGAAATTGATGATTTGGGGGTATCCCCATTTTAGGACACATCCATATATAACCAAGCGTTGTATGGGGAATATTAAGCCTTTTATTTTTGTATGTTTCATGTGCAACCTTTTCAAACATGATGCCCAAGGGTTTCTCCAAAAACTGGGGTATCCTCGGTATCCTCTCACTAAAAATAGCAGTTGAACTGGGGTTCGCCTGTCAGATAAACCCGGTGAATTAGGTGCTTTCCGGGACGATCCCACTGGGAGGATCTGCATGGATCTGAACTTGTCGAGACGGATTCCGAAGCCATGAAAGCCACCGAGGCAAAGACAAGTGGCAGCTGCACCTGCCGGATTGACGCACCTTGGTATGCCAAGGTGGGGCCCCAGTTTACGACGACGCTTTCTGTGCTTAAATAACTCCAGTTGAACGCTGTTTTGATACATGGACAACCCAACTACATCATCGACCATGGAATTGGTTGCTGAATCCCCTCACTTTGGAATTGCTTGGTTGATCGATTGTCAGTTTAGATTTTCTGAGTCGGTGTCAACAGTTACCCAGTCGAAATGGGTTGCTGAGTCTCATGGATCCACTGCGACTGGGGAATCTATGGGGAAGATCCGGGAAGATGTCTTATTTTCTGAGGGTCCCCTAAGCAAAGCCAAATAGATCTAGCTTAGAAGTTGCTGCTCGGTGCTGTCAAGTCTTGAATTTCCTCCGAGGGAGATTGATCCGAAAACCGGAGGTTGAAACCACCAAGTAGTTAAACTAGCACCAAATGCTATTATTGATTAACAATGGTTTATAACCATTAGGATTTATATATATATGATTATATATAATAGGCATAATATCATATCTGGATGAATTATGTTGCGACCGAACCCTGTTCTCACTGCCCGGGCCATGGCGCCCATTGGAATCATGGGGAATCATGGGGAATATGGTTATTTTCCAGTTCGTTATGTAACAGTTTACCAGAGGGTACCCAGACATGTTCATATTACGTTAGTGAAATATTACAATTTACTTGGTGGCTCATCCCACTTAGTAAATGGGTTCATACCTGGGTAATTAGGATATTATAGTGAGGACTTCACCAACATTGATTTAACTCAGCTATCATAAGTCAGCTATAAATCCAATTAGTTATCTCATGTTTCTCAGTGAATTCACCTCAATTTTGTCCTATCAATTTTCCGATCATTTCGACGTGATGTTCATCATATTCCCATAGGGTTCCCTATGATTTTCCATTCTTTTCCTATGATTTCGAAACGGCCAGCGCAGGTGTCCAACCATTGATGGACAAATTGCCGTGATGGCCGAGGAAAAAAGGAACGATCCGTGGGCAAAGAACATAGGGTTAGCCTCTGGTAAACAGACATAGCTATTGAACATGGCCATTTATAGTTGATTTACCCAGCTATAAAATGGTGATTTTCCATAGTTATGTGACAGTTTACCAGAGGGTAATATATTTAATAATGCGGGTAAACCAATAATAAACCAGAAATATGGGCATGGTAACCATACCACATTTATGGTGAAATTGGAGATGGTTTATTATTGTTTTGCCAACATTATTGGGTGTGTACCCGTAGTTGTAGTAATCCCCCAAAAGCTAGAAATGGTTAACGGTTGAGCGCGGTTCACAATGGTTAACAATGGTTTATAATGATACAATGGAATATCAAAACATATACTACCATATACAAGCAAACAGATTAAGTGTATATATAGGGATATCTTGGGCGTGTCTGAAAATGGACCTTCGCCCCACACATCAATGGATTTGCTGCGAAAATTGTACGTCGCCTCACGTCGTAAACCGTCACAAATGATGGTCAGTAAGGGTAGCCATCCCAAAATGTCCCAAAAATGAAGGGTTGGTGAATTCATCTACCCTCTGGTTATGTCAAAATAGCTATTGAAAATGGCCATTTATAGTGGATTTTCCCATGAAAAATTGTGATTTTCCAATATGTTCCATAGTTATGTTAGTTTACCAGAGGGTAGATATGATATACCCTCCATGATCAAACATGGCTTTGGAAAATCTTCCATTGGGTTCAATGATGTTCCAATCTATCCATTTTGATTGGGGATTTCCCCGCTGGGGGTTCATATCGTGTTTGGTGGCAAAAAAACATCATGCTGTTGCTCTTCCATTCATGAATGGGTTGAAAGGAAGAGTAAAACATTCTATGTGGGGTTGGACAACTTAGTTTTAATGTGGCATTTATTGTTCACCCCCATTAACTATAGATATATGATTTTTTAATGCTATAACAATAATTGCCACAATTACTTATTTGAGGTAGTTCATCTATTGGCTGCAGTGGACCATCTACAAAGAAACACATTTTTTTTGTGTGGTTTCTTAGGCGGGCCCTGATGAAGGTTTTCTTTGCAACAAAAACAAGGATGTTGGAAGGATTCGAATTACCCTCTGGTAAACTGTCACATAGCGAACTGGAAAATCACCATGTTATAGCTGGGTAAATCAACGAACTAAATTGTCATTTTCCATTGCTTTTTGTATGTTTACCAGAGGGTACTCATCGCGGATCAGCCATCAATGTCGGTGACATCCCCTTGTTGGCTGGTTTTGAAAAAACCGCCCGGTCAAGGGAAATCATCCCCACATGGGCCGTTTTTGTAATGATGATTTCAGCTTGGCGAATGTTTTTTTTTTGGCGTGTATTTCAATGATATCCCCAATAGTTAAATATGAACCCCCTTGATATTATACTGGTTGGTGGTTTCAAACACTTTTTTATTTTCCATAATATATGGGAATGTAATCATCCCAACTGACTTTCATATTTTTCAGAGGGGCAGGTATACCACCAACCAGTATATATATATATATATCCATTTTTAATCATCGATTTTCCCATCATACATCATATATATATATATATACATACATATATATATATATATATGTATACCCATTTATATGGGTTTATATATGGTATTTATAACCAGTTATATTCCGGGTTAAATGAAAAAGTGTAGTGGTTCAGTTGTGCACCGTGTCCCTGGCATGGCCGCCATGGCCCGAGGTCCATGCCGAGATAGTGGCGAATCACAGCGTGCTGGTGGGCTGGTGCTGGTGGTGCTGGTGGTGGTCACTGTGCTGGGTTGATATGAGCCATTAATAAATTCAATTTTTGATGGGACATTAATGGGGTTTATAGTGATTTAATGGGATTTTAATGGGATTTATAGTGATTTAATGGGATATTAATCCAATTTTTAATGGGATATTAATGGGATTTATAGTGATTTAATGGGATTTTATAGTGATTCAATGGGATATTAATGGGATTTACCCTCTGGTAAACATACATATATAGCTATTGAAAATGGCCAGTTACAGTTGATTTACCTAGCTATAAAATGGTGATGTGCCATAGTTTTGTGACAGTTTACCAGAGGGTATATGATGGTCAATGGATTGGTTTACGGGAAAATCTTCACCGGAAACCATCGATTGTCCCAGCAAAAATAAAGAGGTGTTCCTGTAACGTTTCCCTTATAACCAATCCATTGAGCTGGGGGATTAACTATCGTAATGGAAAATTATAGTTATAATCCCCATTAACAATACTGGTTGGTGGTTAGGAACATGTTTTATTTTTCCATATATTGGGAATAATAATCCCAACTGATTAATATTTTTTTTTCAGAGGGGTTCAATTTACCAACCAGAATACCATTCGTAATGGAAAATTAACATCAACTAAGTATTTATGAACCATAGATGTGATGGGGATTCTAACCTCCATAAGTTGGGATATAACCCACAACTATAATCCACTGTCTACCCAATGGGGATTATGACCATCAATTGTAGGGCTTTATGAAGTCTTATCAGAGCTGTGGGGATTTTTTAATGATGCAAATCTGATGTGTAAATTGTGGAAGTTTAACTACTTAACCATACCATGGGATTTTATAGGGAAGAACTGGGGATATCATGCAGAAGTGATGGTTGATTGGTTACGTATAAGGATCGCTATCAAGCAGCGAGGTTGTATTGTTGGCTCTTGCTCCTCTCTTCTGCTTCCCTCCCGGGATCATTGCGAACTCCCCTTATTTGTTTGGCCTTACTGTCCTTACTCATTTTATCTTCGATGGAATTCTCATCTTTGCTGGTTAAGTTCCCATTTGTGCAGGTGGAATCCCAACTCTCTATCTACTTAAGGCCATGTCTATTCAGCAATACCATTTTTTCTGGTGGTATTGTTCTTTTTGATATGTGAAACCGCAACGATTCCTGGCCAAAAACATCCTTAAAAAATTGCTGGTGATATATCTAACTATATCTTTTCAACTAAGTCCCAAATTTTCCAAATTGAACGTCCCCCCCTGGTTTTTTTCTTCAAAAAAAACAAATCTTTGGATCTTGGCATCTCAGCCCTTCGGGCCTCACCAGGTGGCCCAACATCAAATGCCCAAGATCCGCTCCCCGGCGTGGTTGAGAGGCAATGGCAGTTTGGAGCCCGGGGAACCCAGTCGAAACCGGGAAGTTGTTTCAACCGGGCAAACGCCGTGGGATTTTTATACTGGTGTTGAAAAACATGGTGTTATATGGGTGTTTTATGTGGTGTTCATATGGTTTTATGTAGTTTTTTATGGAGTCAACATGGTTCTTATAGGGTTTTATTTGTTTTTTATGTGGCTTTTGGAGCTTTATCTATGGGAACATGTATGAAAATGCTCCGCAATGACAATGACTGTTTCAGGTTCACTCAACCACCACTCAGCCCAATCCCAACAATGCCCCCCCCAAAAAAAAAACTACTGACCCAATTTTCAGACAAACCCATTTAAACTTTTAAAGCATTGTTTTTTACACCTGAAACCGAAATCCAATCATGAAGCCTGAAAACAGATTGTTTCCCCCCCAATGATTCTGAACAATAAATAAGTCCCTCAGAGACCCCTAAATCATTGGTCATCTCTGCGGAGCGTTGGCTCTCCATGATGAAATATCCCAGCAAGTATCCAGCAATAGATATATCCCTATGTGTATATATATATAGACATAATATATATATACACATGTATATAAACATACATATATAATATATATATATACATGTATATAAACACATGTATGCTGACGGACCGTTTACCGTCCAGCGAAATGCAAAGTTTTTGGGTTTCCCGTGACCAGTCATGTCTTGTTACCGTTCATGTGACCTTGCACATGAAATTGATGGGGTGGGGTGGGGTGGGGTGGGGCATGTTAACGTTCGTTGGAACTTGCACATGGCTTTGATGCTACGGGATGAACCTTCGTTAGAACTTGCACATGACGTTGATGCTACGCGATGAACCTTCGTTAGAACTTGCACATGACGTTCATGCTGCACGATGAACCTTTGTTGGAACTTGCACATGTCTTTGATGCTACGGGATGAACCTTTCGTTGGAACTTGCACATGACGTTGATGCTGTGGTGTCCTGTCACACTGGTGGCATAGACAGTGGGTGGAAGATGATGAAAGAAGCTGTGCCCAATTCCTTGGTGACAACCAAGGGAGCCAAAATCAACAAAAAAAATGGCAGTACATAAGAAGTTTTCAGTGGCGCTGGGAGAATCAGATTGATCTTCTCAGCGCCACGGGCAAAGCGCTGCAGAACTTGTAACTACCCAGACCACAGAGCAGCAAAAATGCCAAGCTGAATGACATGAAACCAAACCATGATTTTTTGATGAAGAAATTCTGGTTTTGCTTAGGCGAAACGATCATTTTACAAAAACACCCGGACGGCAACCGGGCCGGCGGGATGTATATGTATTAAATATATATATATATATATATCCCATGCACCCCCAACAAATCATGGACATCCCCCAGCCAATTGACCCCACCTCAAGCCTTCCCAGGGCGGAGAACCGTCCCGGTGGTGATGCGCCACTGTGGTACTCGCGCTTTATCGCTTTGTGTATGTCGCTCCGCTGAGCGTCAGTGAGTCAGGGCGAAGCGCCCAAAGGGATGTGAGGTTGGCGAAAACTGTTGGGATAGGTTAGTAATGATCTTAGTAATGGCTGATAATGGCTAGTTAATCATGGTTTTAGTTGTTTAATATATAATAACTACAATAAAATGGCAAATTATAACGACCTCACTGCGACCTCACTGGAATGATGGTTAGTACGGGAAAATATTCCAATATAGACTTATTTCAGAGTAGTGAATTCATGTGAATTCTTTTCATTTAAACCAGGTATATAATGGAATGGAATGTAGTGGTAAATGGGACATACTGAATATAAATGTATGATAACCAACAATATTGATTGAGCAGTTTCGTTGGTGA